GAGGCATGCAACCATCTGACGAGCACTTATGCAAGAAAAATGGCTGCATCTCAGGACAGTGAGCTTCAGGGTGTTAATATGTGCTGTCCCAGTGTGACTTCCCTAGCTTTCAAATGGCCTTGAAAACCAGCATCTCAGAGTCACAGTAAACTCAACAGACGTTGGCCTTGTTTGAAATGACTTAGGTTTGAGTGATTCAAAAGGCCCTCCTTGGGGGAATTTCTCATAAACAAGTAATTGTTTAACTTCACAGGTCCCCGAGGTGGCAATACCAGGGCAAAGAAAAACTGACCAACTTTTTTTTTTGAAGGAAAAGCCAGGAAATGTGATCCCCATAGAGGATTTGAAAAGCCTCAACACGTGCCTGGGACTCTAGAACAGCATCCTCCTGAGCAGGGCTGGAGGCTGCCACGAAGAGTTGAGAAGGCCCAGTGCTATTCCCTCCTGCCCTGAGCACGCAGGAGGAAGAACTGAAGCAGCGTTGTAAGCTGCCTTTGCAGCATTAAGGCATGGCCTAACGCACACACACAGCCCTACACAAAGGCCGGCGGATATATTGGTTGAAGGCATTTAGAGATCTCTCTTCCATTATCAGCTGACCACTGAGCAGTTGAACAGTCTTCAGTGGCCAGATACAACAGAGAATACAGAATTAGCTCAGCAACAACTAAGACAGCAACAGACAAAAAGCAAAAACAAATGTAAACAAAGTCTCCTGTGTTGTTTTAGTCACTTTCTCATTGCTGGCACACAATACCCACACCTGCAACTTAAAGCAGGAGAGGTTTCTTTTGGTTCATGGTTTCAGAAGTTTCAGACCCTAATCATCTGGCTCCAAGGCAGAAGCAGCATTGTGGAAGGGTCAGGCAGAGGAGGAGAGCCTTGTGGTGACCAGGAAGCAGAGAGGAAGGAGCTAGGGAGGGAGCTGCATCCTTCCAACTCACTCCCCAGTGACCATGTCCTAATAGCAAGTCAGTTCTAGAGCCCCCATGAACCGTTCATATCCAGAAGCCCCACCTCTGTACACATGAGCCTTTGGGGGACATCTGGATCTAAGCAATATATTCAGAGGTATCTGATTGCCAGAGATGCTTTGAAACGTTACTTAAAATGTTTAAAAATGTCCATTTTTTGAGGGGTGGGTATTGCGTATTGAACTCAGTACCTTGTGCTTGCCAGGCAGGTGTGGTGCTACTTGAGTTACATCCCCAGCCAAAAAAATGCTGTTTTTATTGAGGAAAAACTTACAAGACATACAAAGAAACAAGAGTATGGCCCATACACAAAGAAAGAAACAGCTAATAGAAACCGACCCTGAGGAGGACCCTGAGATGGTGGGCTTAGTAGACAAAGACTTTAACTATTTTAAGATGTGTTCAAAGAACTCAGGGAAAATGTTTCCAGAGAACCGAAGAAAAGTCTGAGGAAGATGAGTCACCCAGCAACTCAGGGTTAAATGAACATGTATCAAAGAGAAATCACGAAGGACATTCATACCATGTTATCCTTTGCAGTTATGTAAAAAAAAAAAGAAAACACGGTTTGTATATTGATAGGAAATGATTTTAAAGAGGTTTCTGTCCACAGTATCTCATTCTTTGTGCCCCAAAGTGTTTCTAGATTTTAAGAAGGCATACACTTTAAGAGTGCACACACTCTATTTTATGCAGTGCCGCCAGCACCCTATGCCACCGCACAGTTAGTTGTGCAACAAAACATGCTTATTCACACAAATGGAAAAATTAGGAATCAAAATAGCCCCATAATTAAAGTCTGACTTTGCTTCCATTACATGTGGCTTTAAACAGAATTTTTAAAACCTTTTGAGTTTTGGAGTGTTTGTATTTTGGAATTGTGGGTAAGAGTTTGTCAGACTGGTAAGAAATGGAGAGGAAAAGCCAGGTAAAAAAGAACAGAGCAATGTGCCACTGTTGTAAGTCATTCCTCCACTTGAAGCCAGTTTACTTTCTTCAGCACTGACCTGCTGTGTCATTGGCTGCTTAAAAGAGAAAAAAAAAAAATTGGGGGGTGTGAGACAGGGTCTCATTTGTACAGTTCAGGCTGGCCTTGAACTCACTACGTGGCCCAGACTGGCCTCAAACTCACAGCAGTTGTCCTGCCTGAGCCTCCTTAGTGCACCACCACACCCAACTAGCCTGTTTAGATCTTGAGTCAGCCAAGGCAACTGTCCTGGTGTCACACGGAGCCCAGCTCCCAGTCCCATTTGCCACGTTAGAGCCCCAGGGATTATAGGTGATTCTCGAAGCTCATAGTTTTGGCTTCTTTTAGCACTGCAGTCATACCATGTGTTTTGTGAGTCCCCTGTGTTCTCTCCGTGGCTTCATTCTATGTGATATCATTTGTTTCCTTCAGCTGCGGTGACTGGGATAGTGGCCCATGCTGTGAATTTTGCCAGTGTGGTGCAGGGACAGGAAAACAGGCTGCAGGGCCTCTGGGAGACTGGACCTCATGTTGGCAGTTTTTCTGTGTGCAGTCATGCACAAGCTCCTTAGCACCTTTTAACCTCAGCTTCATCTTGAAAATGGGCCTAAGCAGCAGCTCTCTCATTTTTCTGTGAGCATTCAGTGACCTGACGAGAAGGGTGAAGTAGGCTGTGCAGCAAGTCCAGGGCATGCTACTTGTCCTAGCAAGCTCTGGTTGATTTTCTCCTTCTCCTTCACTCTTTCTCTCCTTAGGATCAATTATTTGGCCTGTTCTGACAGCCCCAGATTGCCTCAGAGATTTGAGTTTTAATAACATTGGATGTTTGGGCCACTCTGGTTACTTTTTGTCTTCATGGGAGAATCAAACTTCCTAGTTACTTGGATTTCTAACAAACAAAATCTCTCTCTCTCTCTCTCATTTTTCTGTAGATATCATTAAGCCTCATTCTTCCTACCAAGTTATATTCCTTGGAGGATAGAATGAGGTTTAATAATCTCCATAGAAAGGAGAAGACAGGGAGTTTTATGTTCAGTTATGGGTGCATATCTGTGTAGTCTCATTCTGACTAAGATTTAAAATTGAGATGAAAGATCATCACAACAATCATACCTAGAGTTACTGGACATTTTTACTGAGGATTGGGTTTATGGTTGCATGTCTCAAATATTGTCCTTTTTAGTTGTTCTTAGTAATGATGTGAGAGTCTCACGTACAAGAGTAGTTTCGTGATAATGATGCCACATTCTTTTACCTTTTGGAAACTAAAATGAATCTGTCTCTGTATAGAGCAGGAACAGGTGAGTGACTGTGCTGGGGGCCTCACTGCCTGTCCTGATGTGTAGGGGCCAGGACTAAGAAGAGAGGAGATCACTGAGGCTCAGAGAGACCACCAAGAGCCCTTGGCTATTGTAGGACCCTTGAGAAACAAGCTCTGTAATTCTAGGGACCTGTCCGCTTTTCCATCCTTTCTGTGCTCCCTGGCAAAGAGCTATAGACTTCCTTCATTACAGCATCTTGACATGCGCTATCAACTAGAATTCCTTACTAGTGCTGTCAGGTCCAGAGCTTTTTTTTTTTTTTTTTTTAAATAGATGTTTGTAAAACGAGTATGGCCTGTGGAATTTACTGATCCTCATCTTAAGTGGTTATGGAGGCACAGTGAAAAGGTCAGACCCCTCCCATTTTGCATCAGGAAGCTCTACGCCAGCATGCTATACATATCAGTCAATGAGAGCCAGCAATAAACATGAAAGCAGCCTTTCTTGGTATCAGTTAAGATAGCATAGCTTGTCCATTACTGAAGAGGTCTCCAGCACAGTGGGTGAGGAGACAGAAGGCTGCCTGTACAGGTGTTATTGTTTTACATTTTTGGTAATCAGTGCCTTGCTTGGCAGTTACACACTGCAGAACTTCTAAGGGTTCCCTGTGCATATCAGTATTGCAGAGTGGTTAAATCAACTGGAATCTGCCTGTGTTGTAGTCACCTCTTTCCTCCCTTTGGTCAGAGCTTCTTCACTTTTAATAATGTTGGTTCTAGATAATTCTTATTTTCTGTATGTTACTAAGCCAGATCATTGCAAACATTTGTTTGGCCTACATTAGCTTCAAAGTTTTGCTCACCTAAGTCAACAATATTCATTAAAAAGTAGCCTTATGCATCTGCCTATGAGGCTGGAGAAGAAGCCAGCCCTTCAAGGTCTTATATTCAGTGATTGATAGGGTTGATACTGATGGATGTAAAAAGCACACAGACTGCTTTAAAATGGACTTTGAAATAAAGTAACATGTAAACAACAGTCTACAGGTAAGTATGGAATGTCGTGGAAGAATTGTAGGAATTTAATAGTAAGAATTTGGTAAGAGGATTATTAAGAGGGAATTTCTTTCTTCTAGTTAGGTCTCACTTGAAAGAAAACAGGGAGAGGCTTTGGAAAGCATACATTCTGGATGTAAAGCATAACTTGCAAGATACTTAATAGATAGGAAGGAGACTGTGGATTTGAGAGAAGTCTAGACCGAGTGTGTTCATGGAAACTGATTAGAGGTAGAGAACAGTATGCCTGCGGCAGCCCCTTCTCCCTGAGTCCCACCTCAGCTTGGTTTAAGACCTTCCTGGGGGTCAGTGCTGACTCACACAGACGACTTTAACCCTACTTCCGCTTCTGGAATCTGCACACTTGTGAGGTTTCAACTGGGAAAGTCTGGATAGCAGAGTTGATGGGGAAAGCTAGGTCTGAGAGCCCCTCTACATGTGGGGGTGATGCTGCCAGGCCCAAAGTTAGATTTCATTTTGTTTATTTTCCATTAAAACCTAAAGTTGGAAAAGTTACAGATTTTGAGTAATTATTTTCAATTTATTAGGGATGGTGTGCAGTCATTTAAAATAAATAACCAGGGAGTCTCTGTCTCACTTTACTCAATCATTACTTTAGTGTTCTAGAAGCCACTAGACCCAGTGAAATGTTTAGTCACCACATCTATTACAGATTGTAAATCCTGTGTTGTGAAAAGCCTGAGGTAGGGATAACATTTTTTTTTTTTTTTAAATTTCCAAGAAACCTGAAGCCAGTTACTCAGCTGTATGTCAGTGTGGATGCCAGCACCAAAGATAGTCTGAAGAAAATTGACCGCCCACTCTTCAAGGATTTCTGGCAAAGATTCCTTGACAGTTTAAAAGCCTTAGCAGCAAAGGTAAGAATTATGATGTCCTAGCAGTAAATAAAAGGAGAAGGAAAAAAGAATGGAGAAGGATTTTCTCCTGTTTTCTTTTAAAAATAAAGGCTAAATAAAAGTTTTAGTTTCTTTTTGGTGGGGGGGATACTGGAGATTGAACTCGGGTCCTTGCGCTTGCAAGGCAGGCCACCAAACCGCTGAGCTAAATCCCCAGCCCAAAAGTTTTAATTTTTTAACACTTATTTTTTTTTCTTTTCTTTGGAGACAGGTCTTGGTAGGTAGTTTAGGATGGCTTTCAACTCACTATGTGGCCCATGCTAGCCTCAAACTCATGTGCTCCTTCTGCCTCAGCCTCACAAGTGCTGAGATTATAGGTGTGTGTCATTATGCCCAGCTCAAGACTTCCTCCTTTGAGGAACATGAACATTTACTTAGTACTTTTACCCAACTCAGTGAGAATTTACTGAGTTTCTCTGTAGTTTGTAGCACTATGCTTGACACATACCATTTGCCCTTCATTATGGAGAGAGAGCGAGGTACCTGTATTCTCAGACCTGACAATTTCCTGTTCCTGCTGTTGTCTGAGAAGCTTTGTGTTAAACATCCCAGGCAGCATTTGACGTGCAGCCGGATTCAGGAGTCACTGTCCCAGAAGACATCCCTTCCTGTCCTTTGCCCAGCTCGGACTCTTGACATTTTGAACTCGCCCCATCCTGGCCTCAGTGTTTGTCACCAAACTTGGTACCACTGCCACCTCCAGGTGTAACTGCTTCCACTACACACCTGTACTTTCTGTCTCTGTGTCTTTGGGAACCCTCTCCTCAGATGGAAGAATATCTTCGCTTTCATTCTTTCATTGTAGAAATCCTATGTGTCCTCCCAGCTCAGCTTCATGTTGCCTCCGTGTGCAGCCTTTTCTAGCTGTAGTTACCTGCCTATCTATCGTTCTGCTTTTTACATCTATGAAGACTTTTTTCCCCTCTCGTTTTATCCTAGCCACTCTTCTCTGTTGGGTCCCTTGCACATGCTGAATTCTGCAGTATCTAGCACAGCACATTTTGTGGCTTTAATGTTTTTTTCTTAAAGAGTGAATGAATGGAAACCCAACAGAGCTTTGTAATATGTTGTATGCATTTTTCTGAATGTTCAGTGGCTTAATTTTTTCATGCTCTTTTAGGCCTAAGAAGTTAAATCGAGGCCTTTTTAGGTTATTAACACTGATGTTATTTATTTATTTTTTTTAATTTTATTGAGTTTATTGGTACATTTTAGGGATACAGTACAGTTACATTCATTGTTGGGATCATGTACCTTTACATGGCAAGTCTTGATTCTCATTTTTTCCCCTTACCTCTGCCCTCCCTTCACCCCCTCCTCCCTTCCCCATCTACAAACACTTTATTTTCATCTTTTCATTCTCTCACATTTTTTTCTTTTCCCTTTTTGTTCTTCCCCTACGTATCACACCTTCCCTACCCCTTTAGCTCCTTTCTTCAAATTTCTAATTGTCAGTAATCTTATTAGAATCTTATGCATTGTTGCAGAATATTCACACCAGGGAAACTATTTGGTATTTACACATGTGTGACTTATTTATTTCACTTAGGAGTGTATCTTCAATATGTATCCATTTTCCTATGAATGAATCTATTCTCTCACTCTTTATGGCTGAGTAATATTCCATTTTATAGAAAAACCACAACTTCTTTATCCAGTTTCCAACGGATGGGCAAATAGGTTGTTTCCAAGTTTTAGCTATTACAAACTGTGCTGCTATAAACATGGGTGCACATACTTCTCTGTGATATGATTCTTTTAGTTCTCTTGGAAGGATACCCAGCAGAGGGATGGCTGGGTCAAATGGAACCTCCAGTCCAAGCTCTTTGAGGTATCTCCATATTGATTTCCATAGTGGTTGCACTAATCTGCACTCCCACCAACAATGGAGGAGGGTTCCTTTCTCCCCCCAACCCCGCCAACATTTGTTATCGTGTGATTTCTTGATAGCAGCCATTCTTTGTGGGGTGAGGTGGAATCTCAGTGTTGTTTTCATCTGCATCTCTCGAATGACCAGTGATGTGGAACATTTTTTCATATATTTTCTTGCTGCTTTTACTTCTTTGTATGAGAAATGTCTGTTCATTTCGGATGCCCATTTTTGGATCGGGTCTTTATATTTGGGGGGACTGATTGTTTTGAGTTCTTTATATATCCTTGATAATAGTCCTTTGTCTGAGGTACAGCTAGTAAAAATTTTTTCCCACATTGTAGATTGTCTCTTAGTTCTGCTAATGGTTTCTTTTGAAGTACAGAAGCTTTTTAGTAATATGAGATCCCAGTTGTTGATTCTTTCTGCTAGTTCCCGTGCTACTGAGGATTTGTTCATAAAGTCTTTTCCTATACCAATGTCTTCCAGAGTTCTACCTAACTTACCTTCCAGCAAGTTTAATGTTTCTGTTTTAATATTTAGGTCTTTAATCCATTTGGATTTTAATTTAGTGCATGGCGAAAGATAAGGGTCTAATTTTAATCTGTGGCAGGTTGACATCCAGTTTTTCCAACACCATTTATTAAAGAGGCTATCTTTCCTCCACTGAGGATGGTGAGCTCCTTTGTCAAAGATGAGGTAGCTGAGTATATCTGCATTTGTTTTTGTGTCTTCCAGTCTGTTCCACTGATCCTCAGGCCTATTTCTTTGCCAGTACCATGCTGTTTTTATCACAGTGGCTTTGTAGTATAGTTTCAAATTGGGAATTGTTACACCTGGTGCCATGTGACTGTTGCCTATAATGGCTTTTGCTATTCTAGGTCTCTTGTGGTTCCAAATGAATTTTTGGATTCTTTTTTCTAGTTCTGTGAAATATAGTGTTGGAATTTCAATTGGCATTGCATTGAATGTATATAGCAGTTTTGGTAGTATGGCCATTTTCACTATGTTGATTCTTCCTACCCAGGAGCAGGGGATATCTTTCCATTTTTTTATATCCTCTTCGATTTCTTTTTTCAGAGTGCTGTAGTTTTCAGTGTAGAGATCTTTTGTTTCTTTTGTTAGATTGATTCCTAGATACTTCATTTTTTTGGATGCTATTGTAAAAGGAATTTTTTCCCTTATTTCTCTTTCCGTCTGTCTGTTATTTAACACTGATGTTATTTTTAAAAAAATCTAAAAAGGCACTACTTTGGTTTCTCAGCTGTCTTGGATTATGTACAAAGCCAGAAAGCTAAGTGCTTCTTGGGTTCCCAGAATGGCCCTGTCTTTGGGCTTTGCCATCAGCTGTATTGTGTTCAGTGGTCACTGAGACAGGAGATACAGAGCATCAAAATCAGAAGCATTTATTTGAGAGTTAGCAGTGGAAGCAGGCAGCTGAGACACAGCTGAGATTATTGTCTCAGGTGGGCTTTGAGTCAGATCATGGATGATGTCAAGAAGGCATTAGCAGAACACAGTCCACCTTCAAGGTATGACCGGCCTGATGTATGAACAGCTTGGGTCAATTAGGTTAGTGGAGATTCGTCTGCCTCTTGTTATCTGTAGTGTGTACCCAGGTAAACATCCAGATCTTAGCTGTATTGATTTACAACCAACTTGAGTCACAACCAGCGCTTGGGAACTGATTGAGTTTGTAAGTTAAGGGTCTCCTATAGCTTAATAGCTTATTTTTTTTCTTTGGCCAAAATTTTCCACAAAAGGAGTTCTCAGCTTGCAGTCACTAGCCTTTGGATGTCTAATTCTAACTACTCTGGGTGACCTCATTGGTAGTAATGCATTAACTTCAAGTTCTGCAGTATTTTCTGACACAGGAGCATCTTAAACCAAACTTCACTATTGCCTCCCTGTAATTCCAGGTGGAAAAGTTACTTTGGGCCATTTGAACCATGTGCCCACACATTAGGATATTTACTTTTTAAGCATTTTGTAATAATTAGTGCTTTTTATTCTTGTGTTGTTTATGTTGCTATTTAAGAAAGGTCTGTGGTTGGAAGCTGCTCTTAAAAGATTTTCCTTAAATTAATTCAAGCTGTTAGTTTCTTAGGACTATCCAATATTATAAGGTATAGTAGATGGTATTAAGAAAAATTGTTGGCTGGGTGTGGTGGTGTACCCCTGTAATCCCAGCTCAGGAGGCTGAGGCATTCGAGGCCAGCCTGAACTACAAAGTGAGCCCCTGTCTTAAAAAATAGGACAAAGAATTGTTTTACTGCTTTTAGCACTGAAAAAGTAAATATATATGTTGTAGCTATATTAGCTATAAAAATATTACTAAATCTGATGTCACTTGAGTTTTTTTAGCAGAACTGTGAGATATCCATACTTTTTTTTTGGTACTGGGGATCAAACTCGGGACCTTGAGCTTATGAGGCAGGTGGTGGAACCACTGAGCTAATTCCCTGGCTCCAGAACATCCATACATCTTAAGAGAACATCTTCTATTCCTTGCTTGGGCATTTTAGTATATCTGGGCAAAGAAAGGCATTAAAAGAAAATTTTTTAGACAAGAGAATTTGATTTATCCCAGATTTTTTTTTCTATTTCTTTGTGCTAGTGCTGCCCGGAATTAGCAGGTAGAGTATTTTGTTCAGTCATACTGTTTACAGTTCCATTCTTTATCCTTTGTCAAACTGTTCCCGTTCAATACATGGAGAACAGTATATTGGTACTTGAGTATGTGGGGCTAAAAAACAATTTTGTCAAGATAGTAGAGCAAAAAATGTGCTACTTACCAGTTTTTAAAATGGGTAATCCGTCTCGTGCAAGACAAACACTGCCTACCTGTAGCAGCAGACCTTTTGAGCAGTGTGACCAGATGTGTTTCTGCTGGCTCATAATTATGCCAGGTCAGGATCCAGGAGGAAATTGAAGTAGGTAATCCTTCCCATGTTCTAGCAGGAGCACCGACATTCTTGAAACCTCGCATTTAAAAAGGAAAACACAAACATAATCACCTGCACTACACATTGTTGGATCTCAGAAATGAACATTGACTCTCTTTGTGCACATGTTAGGGTGCTCTGACCTC